TCAGAGAGAAATTTGCCCTTTGTGGCATAAAAACAAATTCTCCTTGTGTTTCCTTTACAGGTGCATCTCTCATGAAATTGATTATCATTTTTCTCTTCTGCTTTTAAAAAAATATTTGTTTGCCTGTGATATGACAAACAATGCTTTAGGTATTTTATCAGTATATCCAATTCAATGTTTATATTTCCCTCCATCAAAGAACACTTGTGTTCTTAGTCATTCATTTACTAACTATACATATATAAGAGCTGGAGACACATGAACTTTAACAGATAGACTCCAAACAGCCATGCACTGGGGACAGTGATTCTTAATGGAAGACACACACACAGCAAATTGTATCCTTCTCTGGCTTCTTCCCTAGAAACATTTGGGGGTTGGTCTTTGGTTTTAACCATGTCATGAGAAGCATTCCAAAGAAAGAAGTAGTTAGGCTGTGTCAAGAAGAACTATGGGGAATATTTATAAGAAAGAATGTCACGAAGAGTAACAAAGACCATATGTATTAATTTGCACTGATATGGATGAATATTGAGTAAAACCTTATAATTCCATTGGTATGTAGACCACTACAATGATGGAAGTCACCGCCATGCCCTCAAGAAGTGTTGATGTGTAAGTAACACAACCCTGGTTTGTGAAGAAGCAAGCTCCATTTCTATCCATGCCATGATTATATGAGACTGTGCAAATGGAAAACCACAATTGTACTTTAGTCTTAAGTCTTTATATTCAACTTTTAATACAACCAAATCACAGAATAATGAAGAAGCAAGAAGGCAAAGGTGATGCTAGTCCTTGGTCTTCTCTTTCTATCTGTTGAAGTCACAGTCAGTGCTCATAAAGAACCACACTGTTACAAGCCTGTACTGATTTCTCATAGAGCAACCTAGTAGTAATATCTTCCCTCATGACTCATCTGCTATTTATGAGCTCACCTGTTCATGGCCTAGTGTAAACAATTGCTTCCCTGTTTTCTTCTTAGTGCTAATGATGTCTCCATGAGTATTAAAAGTTTCTTTACATCGTATTACTGTCTTCTGATTTGGGGGGAGTAGAGAGGTAGGGGATAATCTTTCATCTCCCCCCTCCAAGGTTTCATTGCTCCCTTCTCAGCTTTTGCTCGTCTCATAGGCAATGCTTCTCAACTATGACTGCACATTGGAATCATGTGGTAAAAGTTGACAGTACCAAGATGCTGTCACCTGGGTCTGTCTCAGGTCAATGAAATAAGAAATGAAACCATTGAAGGGGACTCTGGCCTTTTAAGTCCAAAGTCCTCTGGATATGTTCACTGAAAACCCTGAGTTAAACGTGAATATTTCAAAAGTTCACATTTCCCAAGACTTTGTCATCTGAAACCTTACACTCTCTTAACACAAGTCCAACCTTGGCAATTGTAATTGTTAAAAAGGGCTAAATTACACTGTTTGATAGAAAAGGATAATTTTAGCTGCGATGGCACACCACCACTACCTTTTCCTTAGGTTAACAGAGAGATTTGAGTTGCCTCTTTCCTGTGAACCTTTACCTACAGTTCCACAATATTCTATGCAAGATACCAAGGGAGAAAACAACTAAGCAATTGAATCATGACAATTACCAGCATGGAGAGATATTCATAAAGGTACAAGTGGCATTCTGTGGTAAACAATAGATATTTATTTGGACTTAAGGTCCACGCAAGAAGAAAAACATGCTTAGTCCTAAAAACATAGCCAGGGTCTTGGTGCTAGTGACACTATAGTCCTCAGAAGACAATCTGCTACCACAATTTTGTTAGACCTGTGAAAATCCTTTCTATATTCTAAATCTTATTGCAATGATATTTCATCTCTATTTTAATAAATAAAGCTTGCCTGAAGATCAGAGAGTGAACCAGCCACAATGGTCAGTCTTACAAACCAGACAGTGGTGGCACACATCTTTAATCCCAGGATTTGGGAGACAGAAGCAAATGGATTTCTGTGAGTTCAAAGCTACTCTGGGCTACACAAGATCAATGCAGAAACAGATCCAGGTGGAGGTGGCTCACATCTTTAATCCAAGAACTAGAGAGAAGTAAGCCAGATGACACAGGAACTCTGGTTCTTTCAGTCTGCAGATTTCTTAGTGGCTTGGCTGTTTTGCTTTTCTGATCTTAACCCCAATATCTGCCTCTGGGTTTTTATTAATCATGCTACATCTTACCATTATTCCCTCTGATAAATGTAACTGACACCATTGTTAAAGAAGCTTTTCCTTACAGCAAATGGAGACCATCACAGAAAACCACAATTCAACAAAATACAGGCATCCATGAATCATGGGCAACCCAGCATCTACATCAGGGCTCCTGCATCTGTGGCTCAGGGAGCATGGTAAAAGAGGGGTCTGAAGGTGATAGGACCCAGAATACCAGGAAAACTGCTATGAAACAATCTCTCCTAGAAATGACTGCTTAAAGACTAGAAAAACAGTAATATTAGTGGATACATTAACATTGAAGGGCAAAAATTTCGCCAGTTCCTTTCTTAAGCAAAGAACAATAGGCAGCTAGTGACTACTGTATGAAGAATGGCTTCTCTCAGAGATGAGCTGCCCTTTTTGATTGTCCAATGAAGAGTAGTCAGCTTTGAAGTTATATATGCACAAACAATAAAAAGTTGACTCAGAAGGATGTGCATATTCATAAGCATACATATATATTTATGCAACAAACATGATAAAATATAAAGAGATTATAAAATTGATGAGTATATTGAAGTAGTTTGAAAGAAAATTACTGGAAGGGACTAGAGGGAGGAAAAGAATGAAGAAAATGGTGTAATTCTATTTAAATTATTAAAAAATTGAAGGATATTGATATTTCTATATTGCTATTATAGTCACAAAGAGAATACTAAGTTTATTTATTTTTCCCTTTACTCTGCTTTTCAGTGATGTAAAGTCACACTATATAATTTTGAGTTACATAAAGACAGGAAATTTATTTAACAATTTCATGTAATTTGATTGCATCCATCTCCATATGCCTTTCCCTTCGTCTTCTTAGTCCTTACTGGCTCCTAAGTCCTCTTCCTTTAAATATCCCTTCAGCTTTCAAGTCCGCACAAATACATGCATGCATAAACATATGTGTAATGCATATGTGTGGTTTTATATATCTAAAAAATATAGGAACCCAAAATAAGAGAAAAATATGTAATATTTGTTTTTTTTTTGAATTTGCTATATTTTCCTTAAAATGACTATATCCATTTGCATCTTGTTTCAGGTGCATTTATAGTATGATGACTAAACATTGTGACCATATCAACTTGTAAAAGAAAGTATTTAATTTAAGACTCCTGGCTCAGAGGGTTTAATCAAATAGCATCGTGGAACACAGCACAGTAACATGTAGGCAGGCATGGTGCTGGGTCAGTAGCTGAGAGCTTCCATCTAATCCATGATCAATAGGCAAATAAAATGAGGAAGAAAGAGCTAATGGAGAAGGGCATGGCTTTTGAAACCCATCCCCAGTGACACATCTCCTTCAACAAAGATGTACCTCTAATCCTTTCTAAACAGTTCTCCAACTAGGGATCAAGCATTCAAACATCTGAACCTAAGGGGGCCATTCTCATTCAAACCATCACACATCCATTTTCCAGTTAACAATGTAATGGCATCCTTCTTTATGGTTTAGTGTATTAATACCACTCTATATATCATGTAAATGACACATCAGAGAAATGCAAGCCAAAACAACTCTGAGATTCCATCTTACACCTGTAAGAATGGCCAAGATCAAAAACACTGATGCCAACTTATGCTGTAGAGGATTTGAGGTAAAGGGAGCACTCCTGCATTGCTGGTGGGAGTGAAAACTGGTACAGTCCCTTTGAATATCAGTATGGTGATTTCTCAGAAAATTAGGAAACAACATTCCTCAAGACCCAGTAATACCACTTTGGGTATATAACCAAAGGATGCTCATCGTACCACAAGGGCATGTGCTCAACGATGTTCATAGCAGCATTGTTTGTCATAGCCATAACCTGGAAATAACCTAAGTACCCCTTGACCAAAGAATGGATAAGGAAAATGTGGAACATTTATACAATGGAGTACTACATATCAGAAAAAAATAAAGACGTCTTGAAATTTGCTGAAAAATGGGTGGATCTAGAAAACATCATATTGAGTGAGGTAACCAAGACCCAGAAAGAAAAATACCATATGTATTCACTCATAAGAAACTTTTAGACATAAAGCAAAGAAAACCAATCCACAAATCACAATCCCAGAGAACCTAGACAACAATGAGGACCCTAGGAGAGACATATGTGGATCTAGTCTACATGGGAAGTAGAAAAAGACAAGATCTCCTGAGTAAATTGGGAGCATGGGGACCTTGGAAAAGGGTCGACCAGGAGGGGAGAGGCAGGGAGGGAAGCAGAGAAATATGTATAGCTCAATAAAATCAATAAAAAACTTAAAGGTATAATATTATATTTAGTTTAATGTATGGTTCCATGAGTTTTAATTATAGTATCTAAAAATCTACAAAACTCAAACTATAAAATCCTTGAATATCTCACATACAAACACACTATTTATTCTCAAAGCATCCTCCAAGAAGTTCTGGAAAATTTTGGGATCAATTGAAAGGGTTCTCAAGGTGCTTGCTACATCTTAAAATCAGTGTAAAGTTAAAATTTCTTTACATATTTAAAGAAAATATTACTTACTACAACAGACCTATACAGGCTCACTTTTTACTAATCCAAATCATAAACATAATTGTCCAAATATAAAGCAATGGTTTTCAGCTTGTTCCTAATTTTGTTCTGAAATACACTAGCAATTTTTAAAAATTATTATATAAGTGAAATGTGTCATGTGTGTATTATTATTCTATGCAAATTTATAACTACATTTTAAAATCTTAGCTTTAATTTCCAATATTTTAAATGATATGATATAATCCATATATAAATTAGCTCTTTGTGTTTTCTTTTAGTTTTTGTTTTATTAAATATCGAAGGCTCTATTTGTTTTTTTTTTATGTGTCATTCTTATGCAAGGGCCATGCTAATGTTCTCGGTACCATTTCGATTTTTGTTTTTGTGCTACTGAACCAAGCCCTTCGATGGATTTTAAGAATCTGAGAGTATATGTAGAACTTACATTGAGAAGTAGGGTTGAACAATATTTGTTCTAGATCCTTGTAACCTTATTTCCCCAAGGGTATAAAGTTACCATTATGAAGCACTGCTAAGACATTTCATTCTGACCTCTATTCTGGCAGTGATGCTCTTCAAGTTGTATTTCTTTGTCCACATAGGTAAAATCTTCATTCATTTATTCAATACGCTTTTAGTTTATTGACAACAACGAGCCAACCATGTTCGAAGGTTGGGTAGGGCAGACCATAGACTAGGATTCTGCAGCTTTCTTAATCAAGGAGTATCTACACATCGGTCCTTAAGACAGACAAGAACAAGGATGCTCTCAGTAAGGACAGGTTGTAGACTGTTAAAGTAACCACCCCAGGCTTTAATGACATACTCCCATCTGGTATTTCCCAATGATGGGCAATAGAACTCCCTTCCATCCTAAGGCTCCTGATGAATGCCTCAGGATGGTGTGGAAACCGTTAAAAAAACTTTAAATCAATATTGTATGTAGCTCTGATTAATAAAATTTAATGTTTCTAGAACCCAAGTCTTGCATGAAATAGCAATGTTACTTACTGAACCATAGTTAACTATGATATTGCATTAATCATAAGAACTGTGACACTCTGCCTTGTGACTTGAAAGGATAAGAAAATCCATGGTAGGTGAGCAGTAGAATTAACCGACAGAGTACCCTAGAATATATTTGGGGCAGAGAGATGGGGCTGGAGATATAGTTCAGAGGTGATGTACTTGCCCTGCGTGCTAGAAACCCTGGGACTAGTCCCTAACCCCACAACAAGCTCAACACTGCTTTGCATTAGCAAGAACTGCTTCTTAGATAAGTTCCCATTGTACCTGAGTGGGAAAAGAAAGCAAAGGAAGGAGGAAGAGGAAACAAAGAAGTGTGACATCTGAACTCAAAGTGACCGTGTATTTTCACCTCAGAGGGTGATGGGAAGAAATGACAGTTTATAGTCCGGAGAAAAACCAGTGGTCCTCTCAGTCCTGAGACAAATTTAGCTGTGTTTTGAAGGCCCCCATACACAGCACTACTGAATTTTATTCTGCAAACCATAGCCACTCCAATGGAAGAGTTAAGGAACAAAGCGTTCAGAAAACAATTGACTGTGAGAAAGAAACTGTTCAAATGTAGAAGGAGCGGGAATGAAAAGAGATTAAGGATAGAGAATGAGGAAGTATCACAAAAAAAAAAACCCTCATGACAGGTAAGAATAAAGATGAGAGACAGATTTGCTAGGTGATTGTCAAGAAGAACTTATTTTTAAAGTGTGACTGTTGATGGAGCATTTATAAAAAGTAAATCAGAGAGTTGTGTCAGGGCTGCTCTTTAGATGACTACTTAAAATTCACACTGAAAAAGTAGGATGGAAATCAGACCGGTGACCAGGAAGGTTGGGGGAAAGGCATTGGGTTCCATTTGAGGTATCTGTGGTGAACAGGGGAAGCGGTGCCAAGAGAGCCGATGACCCTGATGCAGAGACAGCAGAAGGAACGTTCAGGGAGAATTATATCATGGCCCTGTAGAATACCGGGTTTACAATTAGATGGGAAATAGGATTACCCTGTGGAATTTTTCAGAGTTCAAAAAGATGAGTTAGAATATTAATTAAAGATATGATTCCAGGTTGGCAATGTAGCATGGTTCTCAAACGGTAGCCCACAGAAGGTGATGAGCAAGCAAGAATCTTGGGGACCAAGGCAATCCAAGATACGCGGTGAATCTCAAACACCCAAGGACTAGAGATGACGCCCAGCAGTAAGATGCCTGCCTTGCCTGAGAGAGGCTCTGGGTGTTATCCCTGACACCATAGCAAACGAGGATGATCTAGTCACGGTTTTAGTTGCTTTTCACCTCATTTGCTAAGTGTATTCGTTTTTTGGTTTGATAACTTGTTTTGCATGTAATTATGCACACGTGTGTTTGTGTGAGGGTATGTGAGTGGGTACCTGCATATAGGTTCCCTAGGAATTTAGAGGCATTGTATCCCCTAGAGCTGGAGGAACAGCCGGTTCTTAATCACCAGATAAGGACGTGGGAAATTGAACTCCAGCCCCCTACAAGAGCAGGGCATGCTTTTAAGTAACAAGGCTCTTCTCTAGTTCCTACTCAGAGTTTAAAATTGCTTAAAACATAAACCATGAAAATCCCATTTCAGATGTGATTCATTCACTTCTGAAGGTTTTATAATTGAGGATACCTCCTTTCAGAAAAAAAAAGTTTATCTCAAAGAACCTCCTTACACTATTTCATCCTTGAATAATATACACTAAAGCATCCCCAAAAGACATACACACCCATCTTTTTTTTTATTTAAAAATATTTTTTTTTTTTTTTAAAAAAAAGATGAAAAGAAATTGTTGGCCTCTGGTTCCCTACAGCATCTGAGATAGATATCTCTGTGAATGAGGTTCCCAAATTGACTAACTAAGTAATTCAATCTGAAGGAGAAGACAAGGCTGCCCTTGACAGTTTTCACTGACATCAAGTTGAAGGTTCAGCTAGAATGGGGCATTTGACGAGCACCCCCAGACCACTTCCTTCCTTTTTCTTCAGCTGGAAGTTTGGAGTTTACCCATCTCTGCGTGAGACCTGTGGTTATTTTGATGTAGCCCGTTTGATGCCATTAGAGAGGAAACCGTGCTCTAGAGCCAAATGGCACAAGTGTGTGTCCTGACATTAACTTTAATGTGCACCTGGGTTTCAAAAAAGGAAAAACAGAAACCCAAGTTCCTTTCTTTCCCTTTTGGGATTCAACCTTAACACCATTTTGTTTAAATTTCATAGTTTCAGTTTCATCAAAGTCAAATGTGTTTATGTGAAATTGCACACCAGATGTTCGTAGCTATGGATGTTGTGGAGGATTTCGTCGCCAATGTGACCCTGTGGATTTCATAATTATGAACCAAAGCCAGGATGTTTATATAAGGTTTCAACCATGGACTATATGGAAATTTGGTAATAAGGGTGATATGGTCTCAGAGTTATATCTATTTTATATATTTTAAGTGGTTTGTTTTAGGCAAATTAGGGCCTGTACAAATTGAAGTTTGAAGAGGTGTAAATGGATGGAAAGTCTTTATAGATCCTGTTTCTATAATTCTTATCATCAGTGTGATGTAACCTGTGAAGTAAGAGAAAAGAAAACAAGGTTTGCTGAACTTTAAACATGATGCTTGGAAATAGAAAACACTATCCTGAGTGAGGTAACCCAGACCCAAAAAGAGGATCATGGGATGTAATCACTCATAATTGGTTTCTACCCATAAATAAAGGTCACCTAGTCTATATTTTGTGATCCTAACGAAGCTAAATAAGAAGGTGAACCCAAAGAAAAACATATAGTTATCTTCCTGGCTATGGGAAGTAGACAAGATTGACGGGCAAAAAATTGGGATCTTGAAGATGGGGTGGGATGGGGGTAAGGGGAGATGGGGAGAGAAAATTGAGAAGGGGAGGATGGGGGAAACTTGGGGAAACGGGATGATTGGGATAAAGGAAGGTTGGATAGGGGAACAGGGAAGCACATATCTTAGTTAAGAGACCCACCTTAGGGTTGGCAAGAGACTTGAACCTAGAGTGGCTCCCAGGTGCCCAGGGCGATTTCTTCAGTTAGTTCCTTGGGCAGCTGAGGATAGGGAACCTGAAATGACCCTACCTATCCTATAGCCATAATGATGAATATCTTGTATATCACCATAGAACCTGATGGATGGAGATAGAGACAGAGACCCACACTGGAGCACCGGACTGAGCTCCCAAGGTCCCAATGAGGAGCAGAATGAGGGAGAACATAAGCAAGGAAGTCAGGACCACAATAGGTGCACCCACCCACTGAGACAGTGGGGCTGATCTATTGTGAGCTCACCAAGGCCAGCTGGACTGCGACAGCTGGGATAAAACCGGACTCTCTGAACATGGCGGACAATGAGGGCTGATGAGAAGCCAAGGACAATGGCACGGGGTTTTGATCCTACTTCATGTTCTGGCTTTGTGGGAGCTTAGTTAGTTTGGATGTTCACCTTCCTAGACCTGAATGGAGGGGGGAGGACCTTGGACTTTCCACAGGGCAGGGAACCCTGACTGCTCTTCAGACTGGAGAGGGAGGGGGAGAGGAGTGGGGAGAGGAGTGGGGAGAGGGGAAGAGGGGCAGGAGGAGGGGGAGGGAAATGGGAGGCTGGGAGGAGGCGGAATTTTTTTTTCAATAAAAAATAAAAATTTTAAAAAAAAAGGATAGTGAAAAAAATGATGCTTGTGTAGCTGGAATGTCAACTTCATTGCTTAACAGCCATACTTGCACACCCACCTTTTTTTTAAAGCACAGATTGCTGAATCTTATCACCAAGTTTCTGAATCTGGTCCTGGATGCAGTCTGAGTTTTCCCAATGCTCTATCAGGGTCTAAAACTGCTGTTCTTTGTTTAAGGGCTATATCTTTGTGAGGCTGAATGAATATCTGGCCGAATCAAGCTTATTTAATGCATCAGTCAATTTATTGTTGCTGGGGAAAAAAATCCCGGAAGTTGGATTGTTGTTGTTGTTATGAAAAGAGATTTACTTAGCTTACATTTTTGAGGCTGGCATTCCAAATAATGTATTGCTGGCTCTGGAATGATCTCTTGGGTTGTCATTACATGATAAAAGTCATCACACATGCAAAGAAGCGAGTAAATTGGCAAGCTAAAATGTCCACGGCATGGAGGGGTAGTTTATGTCTTATAGTAACTAATTTTTGATAGGACTAGCAGATCATGTGAGAACTACATAAATGTTTCATGAATGTCAAAAGGTCCTAATTGTGTTCATTAAGACCCACGTTCAGCATTACCTCACTGGGACCAGGAGTCTAAGACAAGAGCTATTGGGAGATTAATCACATCTAAATCAATCTGACTCTTCAAGTGGAATAAACTGATGCTTCTTGGGGACTCCAGTCACCATGTGAAA